AAAAACACAGATGTATTCGTTTTTGTGGAATCTTTCCTCTTTTTGTAAAATACACTTATTTAACATTTAACAATTTGTTACATTTCATGTTTTTTAACATAAAAATAATTACTACTAAAAAAAAGTTACTATAGCTGTCAAATGTCTCAAAAGTTACTATAACTGTTGGAAATTTAGCACAGAAGTGAAAAGTGGAACAAAACAGGAATACTAAAGTACAAGTAGCACCACTTCTACCACTGCTTTAGAAGAAGACACACAAACCGTGCAGGGGCAATAAAGTTAACAAGAAGCTCATTCTGGGACCGATCTGACACTTTCTTTATGGTTGGTTTCTTCAACACTTGTCTCCTACTCTGTCAGACACCCCCTTTGCTTTGTAAAACCAGGCCTGTTTTGTAAATATATGACATGCTAACTCCACACCATGCTGATCCAAACTGTTAAAAAAAAAAAAAAAAAAAATCATTTTAAACCCAAAAAACACAATTTCCAATAATGGATTTCCAGAGACTGAGCAGAACAACGGGGGAGACAATGTGACTCACCCAGACCAGTCATTATATTGGCCTTTCACGTGAAGCTGTTACTGGAAAATAAACCATTGTCAGACTCTCGAATTAATCTCACTGCAATGATGAGCCCGCCTGTTCTCCGTCTGTTTTCTCCACTGTTGTATTTCCATTAAGACACTCTTTACCGTGCACTCACTACTCTGAATGAATCCATATTATACAGCACATGCATTTAAGTGTGAACTAGCAAAGGCTAAGTACTGATACTCAGGAGTCTTTTACTTCCTGAAGTGGTTTTTTGCTAAATGTCAAAAGTCAAGGCTGAAATTAGCTACTGACCACAAAAAACATTAGTACAGAGGCGTGTTAGCCTGTGCTGTATTATGTGGCTGTGTGTGCGTGTCTGTGTGTGGGCTGAAGGGCCAGCAGCATAAAAGTCACCATTTTCAGAGGTGATACGACAAACATATTTTAAGTTTCAATGTCCAAAAGAGCCACTAAAAGAGTTTGAATGATCTCATGTTTGGGGAAGCTTTCATATTGAGACTCACTTGACTGGACAATGTTTATGTTAGACAACACTCTCGCTTTCAGGCTTAACAGGCAATGTGTATTTAGTCTGTTTAAAACAAAGTGACAGCTACAGACCTTGTATGGAGAAGGCGACGAGAAGTGGTAGCAGCATAAACACGCACACGCACACACACACACACACACACACACACACACACACACACACACACACACACACACACACACACCTGTTGAAAGGCTGAACCTGAGTTAAACGTGGTGACAGTTCAGACAAAAAGCAGATTATGTTGTTGACTAGAGGCTGTAACACCGAGGTGACTCACTATGATCACACTCAACTTCCCGACTACTCACATGATTGTGTAAAAGATCTATAGCTGCAGAAATATATGCTGATCGGTTCAAATCTCAATGTACAATATCAGAATGAAAGGAAGGTATAAAACAGCACTATCTTAATGCACATGCGAGCATGTTCAGTAGGATTGAGACTTGTCGGACAATGGTAAAACTGTAGATAAAACTGTATCAGCCAAGAATGTTAACGGCAAACAAATTTGCACCCTCAGCATCTATTGAACTAAAGGCCGATCCCTCAACACTAGTGTATGTGCTGAAGGAGGGACTCACAGTGTTAAAGGTCAGGGCTTACTGTGGCATAAGATAAAATTCACTGACTTGATGATCTGACATTTAACATGTAACACATGCATCACTCATATTAATGAGTATGACTTCTGAGTGAGAGATCCAGCCGCAAAAAACCTGACACACAAAAATTATTGATATAAAAAATGCCACTGAGGATGCAGAGAAAGAGGCTGTACCTTTTTTAAAAGATGAAATCATGTAAGTAGCTTAGTTCTTATCTCCAGCATCTACCATACATGTGGCCTCAAAGATTATATGTAATAATAATAAACAACATGATATGTAACAGAAGCACAGCTCTGACAGTACCAGTCCAGAGATCCCCACACAACAAAGGTTATCTGGCTTTCAGCAGCTTCTTCATGCCGGTTTCAGTTCATACAGCGGCTGGCATCATTAACGTGATATGAAAGGCTTTGATAACCCATTAAACATAAAGTGAGATAATGTGATTTCAGTGGGGAAAATTACATTTCCTGAAGATTTTCCTCTCTGGCAGGGTTCTCAAGGATGTTTAATCTTCCTTTGTATATGATCTCAAATAACAAAGGAAACACAGCGTGACTGTGACTGGTACATTTGACAACTGAAATTTCACAGATCTCAAAACAACACACACAAGAACAGAACAGAAACAAAGGTAACTCCTATATAAGTGACTAATTTCCCACAGGAAATCTTTGCTACAGCGCTCACTTTTAACACATGGAACTTGAAAGTCCAACTGAACAAACATTGAACAATCACTGTTATCACTCTGCAATTGTCTCTTGTCTGCAGTCAAACATATCCCAGTGGTCTTCTGTGAGGAAGTAATTTGCTGACTGCTGTTTATGTGCTGCCGTGCTTCACCGTTTCTTCTTTTCATAACATGAGCTGTTCACTGTAACTGGGTAATTATAAAGGATGCGAATTTGCAAAGATAAACAGGAGGTCAAGTGTGGCAATTTAAAATGTTTTCATCCCCGGATGCTCCATACAAACACATTTTTGCTGTAGATAATGTAGTCGTGCATTCACCGTACATAACAGCAGGCAATTTATGCAGAGAAGCAACAGGGTGTTTTGAATTATTTACCACATTCTGTGACTGGAAAATACCATACATACAATACAGTGAAACTATAGGCTTATAAACCCCTGGAAAACTCTTCAACCTTCTCAAACCAGATCATTATGTCTTTGCAGGTTACTCACCTCTCCAGTGTCCACCAGATGCTCTAAAGTTATGATGCCTTTGCTTCTGCTCTCGTTGTCACTGAGTAAGTCATCTTCGGACTCCACAGCAGAGGACCCCGTGGAGGAGATGGAGGAGTTGGACAGTTTCCTGCGCAGGGTACCGTCCACCGCATCATCCCAGTCCTCCTGTCGCATCTCCCGGGAGCAGCCGCCTCCCTCCGGTGTGATGGTAACCTGCGGTACCCGGCGCGCATCCATCACAGTCGGCGCTGCGGTTGCGGACGACGGGGCGATTTGAGCGGCTTTCTGAAGGAGCTCATCGCAAATCTGGGATGACTTCCCGGCTGATCTTCGCTCTAAGCGAGATCCCTCGTTTATCCCAGGGAGCCCGAAGTCCTTGGAGGTCTTTCTCCTGCACTCTTTTGGCATTGGAGACCTTAATCCGTCGCGAGGGCGCACGACGAGAGAGCTTCTTCCACTTCAGCCTCTAAATCCGGTCATTTCACTTTCAGAAAGTTCAGACGCACGTTGAGTCTGTTCACTCGGTCCTCTGTGGCACTTCCTCGTTGTTGCCCGAGCTTTCAAACATTCTCTGTCAGCCTCTCTGCTCTGTGAGGGGAACCCCTCTCTGCTGGTGGCGCGGCTCGCGCTTCGCGCTTCAATACCGTTTACAGGCGCGCGCGCGCGCGCCGGCGCACTCCCTTACGCGACTGTAGAAGGTTTATTATCTTCCGCATTGTCTTTCTCGCTTCCTGGCTGAAAAATTAAAGCAGCTGACAGGTTAAGTTGTTTAATAGGCACAGGCTTCTTCTGCATTTGAATCAGAATGTGCTTAAAGCACCAGAAAATCCAAAATATTCCCACCAAAACACACACACCACCGCTTGAAAGCTTCAGCCTTCAAAACACAAAACAGCGTTATTTCAAGTAGCCTCCCTATTTGACTAGTGCGGTTGTAACATGGAGAGAGTTGTAACACCAACAATTCCACCACACAGGGACACTTTCCCCCCAATAGATATCACGTGGTTGTGTTGTCAAGGCTGGAAACAGGCACATGTAGATTCTACAGAGAAAAAACACATTTTGAGGTAAGAAAGTAAATTATTTTTACTAAAACCAAATTCATAATTTATAAGCCTATTGGATTAAACGGTAGTTTCCCTGGCAAATGTGATGCATTTTCCCCTGTTAATTTGAAACCACTAATACAGTAAACTAAACAATGGTTGGGTGGGTGGGTTGTAACAAATCTTTGAAGAGTGTTACAACCATCCTTTCATATACAACTGAGAACACTATCTTGATTTTAATAATTTTACAGATGGCTGTGGAAAAGAAAGCATGGCAGAGGTGTTCCTGACAATGTTTATTTATTTATTTGTTTTTGAAAAAAGCTAATGAGGTCATAAAGAAAGGCAAGTAAGTTAGATCAGCCACAAAGGTGCTTGACATCTGCCATGTAACACTGAGAAGATGCTGCAAATCACTGCAGAAGCTGAGAGACCAAAGTGAAGATTCAAGTCTGTTTTATGTTGTTCACAGCTACAGTGCTGAGTCTTTATACAGTTTACATGTAGATTGATATGCACAGCATTAAGTGAAAAAAAAATTCAGTCATCTATACAAACACAGCAGCTAAGACAAAATATAATTTATATTATTCTAATTTGAGAAAGCAGGTAGACTTTTAGAAAATGACTTATGAATGTAAGCAGGCATCCCAAGACCAAACAGATGCTTTCAGTTGTCAATGTGGTGCAAAGCGGAGTTTATAACCTCATCACTCCTCATCTATTCATTCGTGTTGTGACCTCTCTCAGCTCCCATTCTCTCTTTTCCACATTAAACACACACGTATGTGTATGTGCCTCAACATGGATCTGTTATTTAATCTTTAGGCCCTGCTTTGAAGAGAATCCCTATGAAAACATCTTGTTTTATAACCTTCATTATTTTGTGCTAAAGTGTTGCATCCTCATATCATTAACGTATACTGCACTTGTTGACTGATCTACCGTTGTATACTCCAGTCCAGTAGGTGGCGTTAATGCACAAATTAACTGCCAAGCGCCAAAGAACAAGAAAAGGGAACGACTGCGTCCATGACGTTTGTGGTACCGGGAAATAGTGGCAGAGTGAGACCTCTTACTTTGCCTCCGCTAAACGGGCAGCTAGCCCTGGGGTCTGACAACCATCCACCGTATCAGCGTTTGGCTTATTTCCCCCCTTTCACCTCTCGCTCTGCAAGAAACCACAATGTTTGCCGTAAGAAATGCTCTCCGCCTCGGCTCCCGGTTATCCATCCCCGCAGTGGCGAGGAGAGGATGCGCCGGGGCTTCCGTCCCGGTGGACGATGTGGTGAACGGACTCACCGAAGACCAGATCCAGGTTAGCCATGTCGGCTAGCTAACAAGACACTCAAGGTTCACTTATCTGTGCAGATACCCTTGCGGTAGAAACAGTCCAAGAGTAGTCACATAAACAAAGATAAGTACAGGACGGTTTAATAAGTTTGACGGGCGGTTATGTAAGAGCGCAATGCTCATGGCGTGATGACATAACGTTAGCTAACAGATAAGAACACATTGGCATTAGCCGACCTAGCTCACCACCTAGAAAACACAGTTTTCGTACTCGACAGCTTCCTAATGTTAGTCCAAATTAATTTTGTTTCCTCTTATTGATCTGTTGAAGCAGGTGGAGCTAATATTTTTCCCGTCAAAAAACTTAACCAGCTTGAATTTGCTCTATTACTTACTACTACAACGGCTAGAATTACTGGCAAGGCGGTGAGAGGTCCATCTAAACATACTTTACATCAATGTTTATTCATTCAAAACAAGGTGACAGGGGTCAGTCATGTTCTGGCACCAAGTTCATGAGAGTGGACACTGACTGGGAGGGAGGAGCGCAGGGGGTGGAGTTCATATAAAAGATTTGATTGGCTGAAAGTGTCAGTCCTCCAGTCCTGCTCATTTATGATGTTGGACATATCTCTAATGTCATTTGACAGGTTTTTGTGTGATTGTGAAATACCTTAGCTCATTCACCTGCAACCCAGACAACAAATTTGTCTCCACTTCCTCTCAGATGAATAGCTGAGCTGTGTCTCCGTCTGCCTTGCAGGGGGAAAATAGGAACTAATGTCAGAGTCTGTTCTTTTTTCAGTGCTTAAATAAGTTGATAAGTTAATCTAAAGTCTGTTGCTCTTCTTGTGTCTTTTGCACAGCTCAGACAGACAGTTCGTAAATTCTGCGCAGAAAAGCTTGGACCTTATGCTGATGAGATCGACAAGACGAATGAATTCCCAGGGATGCGGGTGAGTTGAAACACTCAGTTGTAGGTGTACCTGCTGTCCCCTGACTGCGTGTCACAGTTCAGGAAATACCATCAAACAAACTACATTACCAAACATTGTCCTCACCCTGGCTGTGCTGCTGCCACAGTTAAATTTACCATGAAACATGGAGCAGGATGTCTGTATCGGTAACTTTTGGATTGTCTCTCCTCCAGGATTTTTGGAAAGATATGGGGGAAATGGGGCTCCTTGGGATCACTGCTCCAGGTATGAGGAAAACAATCAACAGTCAATCTACAGCATATGTAGATGCAGTCACAGTTACCTGCAGGGAACTGGAAAATTAGCAAAACAATTTTTTATGAGTTAATTATCCAGTAAGAAGCTTTTTCATGTTTATTTTTTTTAAACAAAGCATTGACTGGAAGCTGCTCTCTCTTTCTTTTATAGGTGTTTTAATATTAATTTACTCTGTACATCTCTTCCAGTGGAATATGGGGGCACAGGATTGGGCTACCTAGATCATGTCATTGTGATGGAAGAAATGTCACGAGTGACGGCAGCCATTGCTCTCAGTTATGGCGCCCACTCTAACCTTTGTGTCAACCAGATGGTACGCCATGCAAATGAAAAGCAGAAGGAGAAGTACATGCCAAAGGTCAGAGCCAAAACTGCTCATACTGTTGGAGAAAAAAAAAAAGCTGATGATGAAAAAAGAAAATTGATTTTAATTTTTCATTCTCCTCTGTGTCTTTCCTGTTGTCAGTTAATGACAGGAGAGCACATCGGAGCTCTGGCCATGAGTGAACCCAACGCCGGCTCAGATGTCGTATCCATGAAACTCAGAGCCAAGAAGAAAGGTAGGACACCAAAAACTGAATCACTCCTCTACATTAGTGCTGCAGGCTTAAGTTACAAAACATTGTGTTGAATCGTACAGTATATGAACATATCTGTATTCCTGCATGTGTGTAGGTATGTTCTCTGAGATTTATTAGCTCGCCATCAGATGCTCTGGTTTCTATGCTGCTGTGATGCTTCTATGATGCTGATTAAAATCATCAATTTTGCATTTCCTAAGAATTTTACTGAGTCAGGGTTTGACAAACACACTGCTGGCATTAAGCCCTTTTCTCACTGAATATTACATTTGCCAAGTGACTCAGACTGGCCAGCTAAAAGATAGAATCTGTTTAGAATTTAGACTGATACGTATTTAAGGTAACCTTCACCTCATGTCACATAACGTCACTGACAAGCTAAGTAGCCTGATAAGAGAACTTTTTAGGCTGTATACAGTGTAACTCTCATCTCCCCTTGATACATTTTCATTCTAGAGGTGGGTATTTAAGACATTTAACAAGTTTTTGGATGGCACACTGATGCATAGATAAGTTCTAGGTTTGGCTGATTCTAATCAGACGTTATCAGCAATTTGTATTTTCTCCAGAAAATCAGACTCAGTGATTCCCACATATCGCTGCGCTCAGTGGAGAGAGTGGGCTGAGTGTGAACCAAAATACCAGCAAAGTACAAAAATGGCATAAAGCACCTGCATGGCCCTAAGGCAATGAACACAAGGAATGCAAATATACAAATGTGACTTTCAAATTCCCTATGAACAGGAAAAGTGTCAATTAATTTGAGGCAATAAGATGTGAACAGAGAAGGCAGACAAACAGCACTGGTGGGCTGTAGACGACGTCAGTGTATGGAGCCTTTCATGTTTGTCAAAGAACATCATCAAAAAATAAACTTTAAGGTCATGTGTAGAAGGTGCACACATTCACTGAGGTGAAAATATGCTGCAGCTGTTTTGTGCTTCCTCAGTGAACGAGTGTATCACCTTGAACCTACCAGCTGACACAGAGAGAGGTGGAAATGATTGCGACATGTCAGCGTGGAATCAGCTGTAGGGTGTGATCCTTAGTGGCTGCGCCTTACTTCATGTCTTGTAAATACTGATTTTGAAGCCATTGTTGATTGTAAGGTAAATGATAGAGTAGTGCTGTGTGTTATGATCCCAGGACGAGAGAATTTATTGTTGAGCCGTCTGCAGCTGCGATGGCCTAAGACTCTTTATGAGAAGGTACCAATTAAATAACCAAAATCACAGGTCTGGGCTCAGGCCTTCTCGATGAGGAATATTTGTTAACTTTTTCGCACACAAGATGATGTAAAGGATAACCCTGCTGTTTAACTCCCTTTCCACTTTGTATGTTTTTTTTTTTAACAGGTGACTACTATATTCTGAATGGCAACAAGTTCTGGATCACAAATGGGCCAGATGCCGATGTCCTTATTGTTTATGCAAAGACAGATCCTGAGGCCCATCAAAGAGGCATCACAGCTTTCATTGTAGAAAAGGTAAATCCAGTCAAGTACAGATGTATTCTTCTCTGCGTCTTGCTTCACATGTAGCTGAGGGGATGTTATGGGTTTTCATGTTAATAGCAATTTAAAAGGTGTCTCTGTTTGTGGATGTATGTGTGCGTATTTTGTAGGGAATGCCGGGATTCTCTACAGCACAGAAGCTCGACAAACTCGGCATGAGGGGATCAAACACCTGCGAGCTGATCTTTGAAGACTGCAAAGTCCCAGGTGTGTGTTGAAGTGCTCTCTCCGCTATATGTTGACTTGAGTTGTAAAACAGCAGAATCCACAGACCGGTTTTTGTTTCGGCTCATTTCTTTGCACGTGTGCCACGTGATCCTCGAGTGACGTTGCTGTTTATTATTGTCCATTGATGATCAAACTTTTTTTCCTATTTGTTGTAGAGGAAAACATCCTTGGTCCATTGAACAAAGGCGTTTATGTGATGATGAGCGGCTTAGATCTGGAGAGGCTGGTGCTTGCATCTGGACCTATTGGGTAAGTTCATACCAGAACACACAAAATATAACATGTTGGGGGTAATTTCTGTGTTCTCACTTGGATTTATTTAACTAAGTAATTACTTTTTAATGTGACTGTTTGGCGTTGGAATATTTATACCTCGTTAACTCTGCCTCAGGTTTTTCTGAGGAAACAATTTGAATGCAAACACTGTCTGCTTGTTAAACCTTGTGGGTTTGAGTGCACGCCAAAAAAATGTAGTTTGCATATTTGTGTAGTTTATATTTACCTACATGAGCAAAGCAGTGCTTACATTTTATTGAAGCCTTTATAACTGGAAGTGTTGAGACATTGTTTAAAGAGAATAGAAAACATGATTGCTTTGTCCTCAGAAAGGCTTATGAAATACAATGTTTTGATATCAGAAACAGTAAGGCAATTTCAAAGATGTTCACAACAACCAACAACATTGCTGATCAAACTCACACCTCTGCCATAAAAAAAAAAAGCCACTTAGCACACTGAATCAGAGAACACACCGTGACACATCATTCACTTTTTTTGTTTTTAGCATCTTGTAATTTACTTTATGTGACTTGCTGTTAAATATCCGGATAAATGAGACTTGAATTGTTCATCAGATTTTAAAATAATTACTTTGCAGCATCATGCAGGCAGTTCTGGACTTTGCTGTCCCCTACCTACATGTGAGAGAAGCTTTCGGACAGAAGATCGGGCACTTTCAGGTTTGAGCTTTAGCCTTCACTTAAGACAAAGTCAGTTTGAAATTGGCAGCAAAGAATTTAAAAGTGTAGAAAAACTTGAGTGAAACTGACCTAATGTGTCATGCTCATCTGTTCAACAGCTGATGCAAGGCAAGATGGCCGACATGTACACCAGACTGAGCTCTTGTCGGCAGTATGTGTATAATGTTGCCCGGGCTTGTGACAAAGGACACTTCAGTGCAATGGTGAGAGGATTTCTAATCACTCATCTACACTGATATTCAGAAAAAATATTATTTAAAATGTGCTTTAAAAGTTAAACCTCTGGCAAGAAAATGTTAAAATATATTTGGAAAATACTGTATATCGATGCATTTGTGTGATGAGCAATTGTTCTTCTTTCACCTCTGTTACCTCTGTAAATGTTTCTAAAACGTCTTATATCTTGAAAGGTATTTCATAGGCTTGAAAAGGCGTCTTCAATGGTTTTAATGTCAAAATACTGCATATCATGTGGAAGATTTCCACCTGTGAAATTCAGTCAAAAGTTCAAAAAACACTGATGATTGTAATCTCAACTAATGATCTGAGGACTTGTGGGATATTTATTTCACGTTATGTCAGATTGTGGTTAGATATGTTTGACTGTTCATATTGTGATAAAATACAGTTTAATTTATCATACAATTTCCTCAGACTTCACTTGAAACCTAAGGAAGAATGAACGATTTATTCTTTTGTGAAGCTCTTTGCATAAGGCCGTCATTCCCTGAGTCAGCATCTTATTTTACTTTGTCCAAAGGTATTTTTCCCCAACCCTGCACACAGTGACTGTTGTTTGTGTTTTCGTTGCAGGATTGTGCTGGAGTGATCCTGTATTGTGCTGAGAATGCCACTCAGGTTGCTTTGGATGGTATTCAGTGTTTGGGTAAGTGCCAAGAAACTGAGGGGTTCAAATGAAAAATGAACCTTAAACTAGCATTGATTAGGAAAGGAAACATATTTCAGGTTGTAATGAACTTACAGTCAGTTACTGTCAGAAAAGTCTAATTTATGGACTTAAATTGAGGCATGAATTTAGTCTGGGATGTATGCCCAGTTTTTGGAATAAACCTATAAATTGGTCAGTGTGATAACCCTGTACTTTAATTGTGAACGGAGTCGTGGTGCCATTGTAATTGGTAGCGGTTTGATGTTAGCATCGTTGTCAGGAGCTGGGAGCAGGGCTCTACAGGTGCAGCTAATTTGGTTAATAAATGGCACACTGAGCAGCGAATGGCTGCAATGTGGATACAAGAGAGGAGGTTTACTGGACTACATAGTGTCAACATGGAGGGAACTGCCTCTTAAACCTCTACAATAATGGAGTGGTGGGAATTTAATGTATATAATACGGATGGATAGAAGCCAAGAGGTGTGGCTTAGTGGATGTATTGAATGAGGGTGTAAAGTAGAAAGAATGTCTTCCTGATTTAACTTTTGATAAGCTTCATTTTAATGCGAATGTTTGACTGATGTGCACTGATTTCTACACATCACAGGTTTTTGTAAATACCCTCATTTTGCATAGTTACAAAGAATTTGCCTCTTTACGTTCATGTTATATTCCCTGTTGCCATTTGCGCCTCATCCCAGGCTTTGATGAACCAAGTGTACATGACATATTATCTTGTTTTGCCCAGTAAATGCCTTCATTTTATAGCGTTTTGTTAACAGAATGTAAGAATTTATGCAAACAAATGAACATGTCAAGTTAAGGGGGTGAAGGATTCTGTTTGATGTTTTTTGCTTTTTGTAATGCTGTGCTTTTTGCCTAATTTAGAAATTTTCTTAAACTTTCAAACAGATTCACATAATACAGTTAATTGTAGTGCAAAAGCAATCTATTTTGTATCGACATAGGATTTGTTAATAAAATTATACTTCAGGGATAAAATACACATTGGTTATCGAGCCATGCATACGGATATACATATTGTTGTCATACAGTTTGAGTAGAATCTGACAAGGTAATGAAAACAATGTAATCTCTAAAGCACTTTGAGGCAAACTGAGGGAACATTTTGTACCTTGTGCAAGCAAATCAATAATTTGATATGTTGACAAAGCTTTTATTCATACAGGCATGGCTGCTGTGAGACTGCACACTAACTTTAACCTATGTGTCACTTGTCAACAGGTGGGAACGGCTACATCAACGACTACCCTATGGGACGATTTCTACGTGATGCAAAGCTGTATGAAATCGGCGCGGGCACAAGTGAAGTTCGTCGGCTCATCATCGGACGAGCTTTCAACGCCATGTTCAAATAAGCTGAACTGGGCGAACGCTGAGGGAACGATTCGCCATGGATGAACACAGTTACTCACTCCCGGGGCCTTATACTGAATGAGTTGTTGCTGCTGTTAGGTTGTTGTGGGTTTTCAGAATCAGTCTCACCTGGTACTAATTCATACACAATACAAATGAAATCACAGAGTGTTGACAGTGATGTTACAAGCTGCCTGACAAAACAAATTAAATGTTGATTTAGTGTGTGAAGTGGCCTTCATGTCATGTAATTTTTTTTTATATAAATATACTAGGTTACTGTAGTCTCAGTTAGTTATTTAATAACCACTGAAATGCCAATAAAACAATGACTTAATTATTGATCCCTATAAACAGGCAGTACCACAGATTTTCTGCTCGTGATGAAATTGAATTTGAAAATCTATATAATAATATGGCTGTGCATCAGTGAAGTTTTTATTATCATCATTATTATATGATTTTAACAGTTTCTTGAGGCCCATCCACTAGATGAAAACTGATTTTGTGTTGTCTTGAACAGTCCTACTAATGCTCCAAAACTGCTGCTGCCGTGATCTCAAGGGTTGTAAGAACAAGTGGATTGTGAATACTGTATCATGCATTATGTAAGGAAATTGGCAAATAGATGCCAGAGGCTCAGTGTCACTCCAGGACACTCAAGCAGGTCATTGTTGCTGTTTATAAAACCTGACAACACACAGAAATAACTTTCTCTAACCATTTCACCTCATGATCACTACAGCTAATAGGAAAAAAAAGTCTTTAAATGTGAGGAGTTTTTCATTGTAACTTGGCTGCGAATCAAATCTTCATAAACTCCCTTTCACAATTTGAAATGTTTGATCATTAAGAAGGAACAGCTGATGTCTGTGAGCACTCTGTTGAATTAGCATTAGAAACCCTGTTTGTTCATTTTTAGAGCAAACATATTCCACTGTTGTATACTGTGTAAATCAGTCCCATTGGAGAAACCTTCTGTCTTGTCTTCTCTCTGAAGTGTCAGTATGTAGCTGTACAGTATGAAAATGTATGAAATATATACTAGTTCCGTTTGCAGGAAATAAAAATTAAACCTTTTTTATTTCTGAACTGCAATTTTTGACAGTTTTTATATACTTCCTGAAGGATCACAAGTAATGTCCCATGTGCATACTTATTTTAAAGTGCTTTATAAAAATTTCGTATTCAGTATCTCAGCCTCTGCTGATGGATGTCATGACCATCCAGCCAACAGCTGTCGAGACATCCAACATGGTAGCAGTTGCAGAAAGTCAGAGGATCACCAAAGTCATTAGGCGTCATTATATGGGACCCATGAATGTCTGCAAAGTTTCACGACGATCCAGCAGATGCTGATCTATACTGTATCACAGGATGAGTGAAAACACTCACCTGCTTTTGGCACTACAGGAAAAGTTAGGGGATCACCATTGTCAATAGGATTCATCCTCTGAGGGCAATAAATATCTGTTCAAATTTCATGCGAATCCATTAAAGAGCTGTTGAGATATTTCAGTCTGGGCCAAAGTGATGGATCAAGTAACTCACTGACCCACCAGCATTGCCATCCACTGAGTCATGGAATTAGCATGGCTAAAAACAGTTGAATTGTCCTGACTATGCAAAAAGACAGCCCTCTGTGAAATGACAAATAATATAATGAAGACACAGCAATTTCTTCTAATTTTCTGAGAAGTTTATTTTTATCTAAGGGAAAGAGGAAAGAGAAAGTTTTTTTTTCATGAATACCCCTGTTTCTGGTCTGAGTTAAAAAGACAAAACAAAAAAACTATTACGAAAATTATAAAATACAATTTAGAGACATTTTAAAACATTCTCTTCTTTAAAACTCTTCTTCCATGAATGAATATGCATCATAATCCCCGCACTCTTATCCCTCACTCACTAACCTGCTGCTGAAACATCTCCATCACCTGTTAAGATGATGGATCCTCAGCTTATTTCCTCCAATCCATCTACTGTTGTTTCATCTCTGTCACACACTCTGACTCAGACTGATTGATGTGCAGAAGATTGTTTGGTTGGACTTTGATGCTGCTCCGCTGTGTGATAAAAAAAAAGAAAAGAAAGAAAGATGAGGGATTAACAGTATTCTGAGTTTGTTGTTTCATTTCTTAACCCTCCAGTGGAGATGAAAGAGTGGCATTTCAGATCTGAAGACACTCATGAGCTCTCTGCAGAAAGATGTAAAAGACACTGTGTCTGCTCTCTTGACTGTAATCAGAGGTGACTGTGCTTGTCCTGATTTACTTCGGAAGTATCTTATGATAAAGAAAGAATTAAAAAGACAGAGAAAAACACAAAACAAAACATACACTTTTCTATTGTCCCTATGTATCCACTGAACATAGAGCTCATTGTTTCTAGGAAAGCCAGAGGGGAGACTGTAGTTCAGACAATGACTGAACTATCCCACTGCATTTGAATAATACATGGGTCTGTTTCAGGGAGGATTTTCCCTTTACAGGAAATAAGTCTGGTTTAAACATTCATATCTTTATCACACTGAGGTAACTGCTTAAGTTGACTGAGAAGGAATGTATATCTATCTATCTGTCTATCTATCTATCTATCTATCTATCTATCTATCTATCTATCTATCTATCTATCTATCTATCTATCTATCTATCTATCTATCTATCTATTGTATATTATATAACAATTAATATTGTTGTATACCTAATCATAATTTCATGCAAACATAATTATGCAAATACACACAATACAAAAAGAGGTCACTGTAAATGTGCCTTTAATGATATTTACAAAGCCTAATGTCCAAATATTAGCTAAAGCTACCCTTGAAATTTACAAAAGTAGCAGCTAATGCTGGCCTTCTAATGCCCAAACTTTTGAACTTTAGCAGCTAATGCTAGCCTTATAATGTATGATTTATGTTAGTGACACTGCAATGCTTAGCTTCATGCTAGCCTTGTTTACTATAAGTTTAATGATAACAGTTAGCAGCTAATGTTACTGTAAAGCTTAATGCTAGTCTTATAACGTCCAAAGCTTAGTAGTTATGCTACCCATGTAATATTCAGATGTTAGGAAGAGATTAAGCGATCTATGTAATTGGTCAGAAGGGTCGCAGCTAACGCTACTTACACTCATGCTTTGTTTAGCCAGATTTCCATCTTAATCTTAAGCACAGCAAAAACTTTGTATGACAGGATTGTTTGTGGTTAACATTGTGTTTTGTAACAGTTACCATCATTATTTTTTTGTTAAATAAGTACAGTTCTACTAGACCTCATTGGTTAAATAGACTGTATATAAAGGTTTAACCTGAGCACCAACCACTCCATGGACTCCAGCAGTTCTAGAGGGGGGGCAGTCAAACACTTCCCTGATTTATGCTGTTGCTTATGTCATCAATGATGTCCCAGGTTGTACCATGATGATCATGATTATGTTCTACATAAAATGATATATCAAGATATTATAATTAATGGCCAGTTTAGCAGCTAAGGTTACTGACATTTTTTCAAATTGCTGTCGTTTTTTTTAATGTCACAAACACCTTCAACTCCTATCGTCTCTCCGGCTAAACTGAAAGTGTCAGTGGCAGGACAAGATCGAGCGATGAGACATGCTGGGGCTGAAATAATGTGTCAGCTACAGACAGATAGATGGATCCTTCCTTTTGCTGGTGGTCTGTTAACCTCCAGAGGCCACTTTTGGAGATGTCAGTTTTGTCTGTTTGCACTTGTGCAGGTGGCACAGTAGTCTCTTTTCGCCCGCACGGAGAGTGAGAGCCTCGGCTGGGACTCCAGCTCGTGATCGCAGAAAATGTCACACAAGCAGCTTCTGTTCCAGTCAAGTTTGAGGCTCGACTCCGCTGCTGAGTTTGTGTGTTTTTTTAATGTAACCTCACTATTAACTTTTTAGTAGGCAACGTTGACAGGTAAAGTATCTTTCACTTTTTATTTCATAAAAATATACATTTTTTTATAGCCAGAATTAGCACCTAATGGGACTTTCACTTAATATTGACCTACCATGAAATCCTGTCCACCATGTGTCTTCCAAATCTCTGAATGCAAGATGGGTCCAGACATTTCAACAATGGCCAAGCAGGATAATGAATGACTGAACGAGCAGCTGGGTCAAAGTAACCCAACCAGCTGTTCAGCTGCAAATGAACACCTTAAAACCCCCTTTCACACAGCATGAGCAACCCATTCATAGTACCCCAAACAACCCAGAATTATGAACCAGCATGGTTGACCCAACCGTGTGTTCATATACCAATTTTCAGACTAAGACCATGAGATGCAAGTTGAAAGCTCCAGGTAGTGACACAAGAAAACAGATGCTATGAGTTAGATAGTCTGAATATCTGTATTATGGGAGGTGTGGGCTTATCTTTTTCAGTCATTGCTATACTTTCTTTTTGACAATGATACATTATTTTGTGTGTATGTGTGATCACTTGTGCACATTAATGTTTTCTTCTGTTATTTATTTTAACTTAAAGACCGAAATGGAGTCCAATCAATCAACCAATCGATATCCAAGCAAAAGAAGCAAGTTTAAAACGATCGAACAGACTTGAGGAGTGTCCCTCTTTTTACTGCTTCTGTTCTTTGACATAATGCAAAATCTCAAATTTATCTGTTTACATTTCACAAGACCTCAGATGATCTGGGAAACAGTCAATCAAACTATTTCTGCCAATTTCCTCCTTTGAATTGGCAGGTGGCTCGTTCTTCCATCAAAAACACAACGACAAGATGAAGGAAGATAGTTTAGTGATGATGTTGCACCTGTGGCGCAGCAGTCAGTTTATACAGACGCCATCACATTTCTTTTTTGGTGTGTCTTATAACTTAAGTTATATAATGTCAAATACATATTATGGATCTAATGTTACACTTAAGCATACTAATAAAGGGTTTCCAAGTCGTTGATAACAACTTTCTAAAGTGGTGCCTATCAGTAATAAGTGATTATGATGTAAAATTAAACCAACCTCTGGGTCGTGAGTCCACATCTCAGTGAAGGAAACTGTTGTGTAACCTCTGGCTGTATGGCTCTTTATTAAGCAGGAAGGACTCCTCCCTTTAGGGGAGAGGTGCAAACTGAATGCCTTATTGTCAAGTGAAGGTTTCCTGCTTCACAATAAGAATCAAGTCTGAAGTTGATAAATGTTTCTTGGATGCTGTGTAACCTTCTTTCACTAATGCATTTATCAACAGCTAATTTAACTTCATTTAACTACATCCTTGATGGATTAAACCTCTTTATTAATGACTAATTAAAATATGTAAATAGGGACCCGATGTCTTGTTATTAAGCGAGAAACCCATAAGGCTTTTTTAAAATTTGGACTACCAACATTTATGTCAACATTTTTACAAAATGGAAAGGATGAACACCAACCAAAGGTATTGTCCGCAACCTGGCAACAGCAAAGATGATCTTCTTGATGGGTTATAACTGATCTATGAAGCATTAGTAAAGAATTACATTTTCAATATTTATTTTCAATTCATAACCTCTGTTAAAGGGTGTCTTATTATTAAGTGGAGCTGTGATGATTAATATCCTTTTTGAAGTCTGCATTGTATAACAGGTGAGGAGAGGGTGGAACTTGCAGTATGTTTTTTCAGTCTCTGTCTGCAGATTAAATGTTAATGTATGCAAACATGTGTTATATCAGCAGCTGTCTGAGATTAGTGTGGGTTTCAATCATGTAATGTGTCTGTCAGATGAGTTCTTAGGTTGCAGTGGTCTCTAATTCACACACAGAAAAACCATGATCATTTTCCCTTTGGTTTTTCATATTCCATGATTTCTGTAATTTATTTTAATTTATTTTATTTTAATTTCGCTTAGTTCAGTATAGTTTAGTTTAGTTTGGGGAATCTGATGACCACTCTCTCTGCATATAGACTACTGAACCAAACAAACCCATAATGACAGAAATCTCAGGTTCCACCACATAAAATAACACTGAAAAATTAAAGTCTCATTAAATAGACAACAAACTCCTGCCCATCAGTGCTCCAGGAGGCACTATGCAGTCACATGTCGGAGCAGGTTTTGGTTATGAGC